CAGCGACATCACAGCTGGCGGGCTATGCGTCTCGCGAATTGAAAGCATGTCTGAGGCGACCGCGACCTGTATCGCTAGGTCATATTGGACAGACGCAAACCAATTTCGTTCGTGCGATGGGCACCGAGGGCGACGACGATCTTTATGCCTGATGAGTCAGCTCAGTCTTGGGGTGGATCTCGCTAAATCGCTAGGCGACGGATTGACCTATGTTTAGGTATAGGCACGTAATTAAAACCACAGGTAAGGACGATCCCCGAATCCGTCCGGGGATGATCGCGGCGTCTGGCTGAAGGCACAGAGTCGGAGACGTACAAGTGCGACGGTCGCGTTTGTTTATGAAGCAATGAAATACAACTACGTTTCACCTCGGAAGCCAGTCCTACCAGTATCCATGACTCATGGCTTCACTCGCTGTTCCTGGCCGTTCGTAGCTGTTCGCTACCGCTTCCGCTTCCTAAGGGGATTGGCGGGTTGCCTGGTCGCTTAGGTACTCCTATTTACCTTACTCTGAGCCGGCTCAGCATTAGGTTGTCGATGAGTGTACCGCGCTCTCTACCTAATCCATTATTAGATAGATAGATGACTAGTAGATGACTACCCGTCTTCCGCATCCTCCGAACATTAATATCCGTTTGTTGCTGCCTTTCGACACGTCTTCATCAGCCTATTACGAGTTTTGGTGTCCAACGTTCGCGGCCTGTCCTGGTCTCGGCGGGTCTGCTCATTTCCCAAACCCGCCACGCTGAATCGAGCCCAGATAGGTCGGGCACCTTCAATTGATACAGAGGGCACCCCTCCACCTATTTTTGCTGCTGTTTTCCACATAAGAAGTACTACCTATATATAAAACAGTTAAAACACAGGCCAAAAAAGCCTTCAAATAAAAAATAAAAAAAAGCAATAGAGTATAAGGCACATTATATAAATAAAAATCATAATAAAGTGTAATTACCTATTAATTGTTATATGCTATAAAAGGTGTCTGATATACCAAGTACTTCTACTTAGTCTTCTCCGCTTTTATAATCGGCTATACCAAAATAGGGTTAAATATGGGGCAAAAACAAGAAATAGGTGGGGGAGGTGCCCTCTGTATTAATTAAAGGTGCCCAACCTATCTGGGCTCGCTGAATCCCGATACGCCAGCCCATCCTCCGTCATCAATCGACCGTCGCATTATGCGAGAGAAGTCCCAGTGATTTATCTATTTCTAGTCATGCACCAATTTTATTTGCAGATTCCTCAAGGACTCGGTTGCTTTGCGACTTGCCTCACAGGATCGTCTGACAATATATGACAATCATTATTACAGGGGCCATAAAGGGGGAACAACCGGCCCTCAGGGTACAACGAGGTGAGACTAATAACATTAATCCATCCCATCCTGGCGCGCTATTGGTCATCATCCCTGTTTTGGTGTGCCGGGTTTACCTAGTCGGGCGCATCAGGTATCAAACGCCAGCCCAATGCAGAAGGTTCGCTTTTAAGTTTCGAAGGCTACGGCCTCTGCCATTCGACTTAAAACTGGCCAAAACGGCTGTCTGAGCCATCAGGATGCTGGTCCATCGGCGAAACGGCTTACGATATTCCATTTCACCATGCCGCACTCGTCGTCAGGCATGGCCCGGCCCTCCGTAGCCGATCTGGAACACGCTGCCTTATCGGTCGTTCACCTGATACAAGGTGTGCCTGGGTTCACCAACATCCGACTTGCGCTCATTGGCGACTTGGCCGTTAAGAAGTATCTGGGACGGCCGGGCCCCTGCGAAGTACGTCGATCACAGAATGAACAGCTGCGATGGAGACGTCGGATGCTAATTGAAACCGCTAGAGCATAGAATTCATCATCACTAAATCGGCATCGCCAAGTTTAGTGAAGAAAACCCTCCTGGCCCAAGGAAAGGGAGCTATCGTCGAGAAAGCCCAGACGATCTTCTACAGGCACCCTACTGGCTGGGCTGTCGAAATCGAGATCACGCCCGAGTGGCTCTGTCCTTATTTCCCCAGCTCGACTGAGCTGGTTGCGGACATCAAAAGCTTGCCATATATCTCGCTTGCAGACCTCTTCGTCTTCACGGCTGACGCCTGTGGCCTCCACGAATCGGACGCGGGCAGGCTGCGAAAGGCGCATGACGCCCGCGCGCTCTTGGAGCTCGCCTCGGAGCACTTTCCTCTGAAACTAGAGGAAGACAGGCTGCAGAAGATAGAAGAGGCCCTCGACACGCTCGTGGAGTACTCGCCGGTGGAGAACGACAGAAGATGGTGGGAGCGAAGGCTCGGCAAGCAGAGCGACAAGCGCCGATCCACTCAAGACATCCTCTCGGAGCTCACCGAGGGACTCCGCCTCGACGAGGAAGTGAGCCGGCGGGCGATGAGACGGCCGAGCGTCTTCTCTCTCCACAACAGAGGCTCCGACACGTCCATCAGCTCTACCCCGTCTATCTCATCACATAACACTACGCCCTTTTCCTCGCCACCGCCTAAGATGCGACCGAGAAAGATGAGCGTGAGCGGATCGTACACGCGGCCGCGCAGACACACGCAGGCGAATATAGAGCCCCAGCCTGAAGATGGGTTGTCGCCCCCGACGCCCCAGGACTATCGCGATCTACAACGGCTGCAGGCCGAGTTGATGGATTCGGGTGGGCGAAGCTCGCCAGGCATATCTTTCATGACGTTTCCTGGAAGGGGGAGATGAAGACAGGATCTAATGGGGCAAGGGTCTATGAGGCAGTATCTATGGGGTGGGGGTTGGAGGCAGGATCTATGGCCGGTTCATGAGGTTTAGAGTAAAAGTTGGTTTTTTGCGTTTCATATACCCCCATAGATTATTGATTAGTAGATAATGTAGAATACTTTGGGTACATAGAGGGCAACGCAGGATCAGTCCGCCACCTAGCCGTCTCATGCCGGCATGGGCAGACTGGGCCCTGGAGGTTCCGACCAAACACTCTCAACAGTTTTCTTGAGCAAATCATTCAGATTATTCTCTTTATATTTTATTTATTGATGTCGATAGTTTGATATGTACATGCTTTACATACTATTAAATAAAGCCGTCACAGGGCGAACCGAGAAGCCTGCCACCACAGCCAAGTGATTGATTCATTCCCCAACCTCGCCCGGGTGTCACGACGCTACCAATGCAGAGGGCAGTTTGTCTATTGTAGCCGAACAACTTTCCCAATCACTGTTAATCATATGCCTAACTAACCTATCTAGTATACGTATATGTAACCTATTCCTCGCTCTCCCGAAGTCTAACTAGTGAAGCTAGACGTGTGGACACTCTGATTACAGCATAGTCACGAAGATAACGTATATTGAAGTAGGGTGATGAGCAAGCCACTTAGTGGCTTGTCTAGTAGCCCGATTTGAGCCACCCTAGGGGGTATGCCTTGATTTTTCGTTGCTTTTTCTATATATTTAGCTATTCCCTTCGCCTCTGTATTATTAGCTTCTTTTTAGTCACGGTGGCCTTTGGCCACTACTCGCGAATAGATTACTTCCCTTGCGAATACCTTCAAAAGTGATCTATTTTGACAATTTTATCAAATCTCTGTGAAGTACCTGATGAGGTCTCCAGAGTGCGGTTATGCGTATGGCATGCTCCGTTTTAATATAATTTGTCTTAGCTTTCTGATATGGTGTCCGAGCTTGTGCGGTCTAGCGAGATACTATTACTTTCATCTTTACCTAGGTACTCGGTATTGCTACTCTATATGCTTCCTCAGTATCGCTGGGCCCGAGGGCTCGATTCCCTCATTAGCTAACCCCCACCTTATCTTTTCCTGTCCCCTTTTTTGCCTCCTTTTTCCCCGGTGTTTTCTTTTCTCTGTTCCCCTATATTTACTTTAAAGGTCTTTTTTTCGTCAGGCCTCTTTTATTTTCGAATGTTCTCAGCTTGTAAGCTATTTGATCTACTTGAGAAATGCTTGTAGTGTTCCAAGTTCATATTCTGTACACTCGTCCGTATATACACGCACTACCGGTTCAACGATCCGTTAATCCTCGAGGACTGACCCAAAGAACGTAGTGAACTCACAACGAGGCTAGTAAATGTTGGGTGAATGTTCTTTTTTGGCTATCATCGACTGGGTGCCACTTCTTTGAACCTATAATTACCTCTGCATCCACATAGAAGCTTTGGATTAATAATCTAGCAATATTGTATTATGATAAGGTATTGCTCATTTCAAATCTCAACTCAATTGCACCTTCTTTCCCTAAAGCTGCAAAGCCAACTTGTGATACATCTTCAAATTTACGGTATGAACCTCTCACACGCTCGTGAGATCCAGTTGGCTTTTTTTTATAGCCGCCCTTTTCATCAAGCACGTTTATTATCTGAAAATGATGAGCTAGATGTGTATATCTACTTCTATTGGTTTCCTGTATAAGAATCAAGAATAAAATTAATAATGAAAACCTATTAAGCCGAATACAGATCTCTGCTGTTGAATTTCACATGAGGAATAACTTTCAAGCAGTCTTTACTCAGATACTAACCTGATGGACTCGATTTCATCGCCTAGTAGCGATATAATATTGAATCTATTGGCAGAGCAGCTGAGCACTCGGTTGAATTTCTGTCTTGTTTGCCTTGGATGAATTTTATGTTGGTTTCTTCGGCTTGTAAATTCCATCTGTAGAAATGACTTCCGGAATCTATATTTGTGTTCTCTTATCTCTGCTCCATGCCTCGGGATATTTAGTATGAATCGTATAGGCAATTCAAAATCCGAGTGTATTAGCTTACTGCGTCGTATCCCTCATTCCTGAATCTCCCGGGGCCCTTGCCTGCTGTGTATTTCAGGCTTGTCCCTCATGGATGGCAACTGCCTCCCTCAGACCTGGGGATCGTACCTACGCTCCTGTCTATCCTTTGCCCTATCAGCTGAAGCAAGAAGAATCACATGACTCACTACCACCTGCCTTCTTTTGGAATCTATTCCTTAGCAAGCACCTACATCAGCATCACATATCACATGATGCCCGCCCATTTAGAGCAGTGGTTAGCTCGCTCGTCTCCGGTATAGACGCGGACAACGAGAAGGCAGGGGTTCGAATCCCCTAATGGGTGCTGATCTCATTCTTTTATTTTATATCTTGGTTTCTTTATTTTCTTGTCACCTTTACGTTTTCATCAGCGCAGTATTGTACTAACTAACAGTTAGCAGAGCAGATATATCGGGGTTTGTCAAGTCCTTAGATCGACGCTTTAGACGAACAGGTTCAGTATTTGTATATTAAGGCATTGCCGTGGCACTTATTTTCTATTGGCGATGCATTACTCTGATATCAACTAGTATATTTATACCCAGAGACAAGAATAATCATTTCCAGTTTATACATACTTTTGAGACTGACTATTCTGGGATGACCTCAGAGGCAGTAAACAAGCTCATTAAAAGAGGCCTATCTAGGCTCATGTAGTCTTATCCACCTGCCCGATTATGGGCCCGGGATATCATGAGGTGGTGTAAGTTTGTACAGCGCTGTCGCCATCGCCACTAACCACAGTCAGCTGTCCGGCATATCAGATTACATACAAATTTCGGTATCAGAATGAACAATATCTTACTTGCTTATTCCATTCTTACCCGATGCGTGAATACTAGCGTCACATCGATCCAGCGCTAGTTTCTGTAGTTTAGCGGGACGTGCCGCTCACCCTTCACCCAGATTGGATTGATCGACAGACCCAACACACTGGAACACCAACTACATACCTGGTATACATGACCCCTGATCCACACACCATCCCATGCGTTGATAGATAGATAGTACCAAAAGCCGATACTTGATACCAGGAGATATCATATAGAGTTGGGGTGTGATCTTATAGTATGATGCCCCCACGTCAAGGGCTGGAGCAGGTATGGGTCTCTGCCTGCAGATGGAAAATGCATCATGCGGATCTGCGCCGAGCAATAATTAAAATTGCCAGCATGAAAGGTAAGTTAAGGAGGATTACCCTCTTTGAGGCGACTAATACTACCGGACGTGGGTATTGGGCATAAATGAGGTTGAGGTCTCAATAGCATTGATAGGAAACTGAGCAGCCTGCATTGTATCCCTCAAGGTCGTAAGCCATTCTAACCTCGCTGCCTTTGTAGCTCATTTTCGTCGATTATACTTGAAAAAGTGATCGGTCCATAGTATTGCAACTTGCGTAGTTCTTGTTAGCAGATATTAGAATCCTTGTATTGCGAGGAGACTATCGTAAATAACTTAGCGATTTATCTTCCTACATCCGACATCAGAACTGCCACTCGTTGAGCCAATATAGCCAGCATGGGCATTAGCAATGTTATGTATGATGCAGCTATATGTGAATGAACAGTAATTAAAACATGATGGGAATAGAGCGGTTGCATATGCATGTGCGATGATGAGCACGATATGTCGCAGATGATGGTAACGGTGTTGATATGTGGCTGCGTCGCAGACCCACGGTACATTGCATGTCTCCATTATTTGTTTCATAAGGCTTAGAAATTATCAGTGCTGATTGTATATGCCAACGTTGCGCAACTCATGACTCTAAGATAATGAACTATCCACATTGGAATAAATGACATATTCGTCTTCCGCTAGGTAAACGAGCTAGTAGGGTGTTGTTTATCTCAATCTCGACGTATGTAGTAACGCTGAAATCATAGGGTGAGCCTCATCTGCCCATCTTGCACCAGGCTGGCGCTCGCCTTCAACATACATTCAGCCGAGAACACGCTCCATGTTACTAACCCTCCCCTGATATACCTCGCAAAGCTAGCTAGGACAGGCCTTGCAGCTTCTAGCTCCATTGGTACATGTTTATTCGCTAAATACCACAAACTGGATAAGAAAAATTAACTCCCCAACAATAACAATATTATTAGCGTCAGACCGATCACAATAGCAGTCATAGAGATAGTTAAGAGGCAGTTTGCTTTATTAAGAAGCTATCGACAGACCCTGATTTTGAAAGTATGTATAGCGCCCGCATGCACCTTGGTTCCGCGGAAAAAGAACGAAACGAACTCTGCCCTGAGCCCCAAAGATAGCGTCGCCATAGAAGCCCCTCCCCAACACTATGTCACTCCTTCGCCCATCGCGTATTTAACAGTCCTCCAGTATATACCTTCACACTCAAGTATATGACAGTTTCCGAGTGAAGAGCATGCATTTACTGCTCACCGAGACCGGGAGGGGTCTGGCAGAGAACAGCCTGGCCGAGCTGTTTGTAGTGTGTCAGTTTGGTAACCTCCAAATAGAGCTGGATATAAACTCACGACTGGGAGAATGCAGCAGCGGGCACGTTGGCCACCGTTGGCGCAGATGTCACGGAAGTTGCTGACGCTGAAGGGGACAGCCGAGGCTGTGATCAGGGTGTTAATGTTTGTGTCCCTTTCAAAGTTTACTGTAGCAATGGTAGGAACTCACGAGAGTGGCAGTCTAGGTCGGCGATGCCGAGGACATCAGTAGCACAGCACTGGGGGCTGCTGTAAAGAAGGTTTGTGCAGGCGATGTAATTGGCGGGGGGGTCATTGGTGGGCATGCCAGAGACAGCGGTGGCGATGAAGCCGATGATAGCGATCAGAGAGGTCTGCATTTTGAAGTGAGGTTGGTTTCTGTTGGAAACAAAAAGATTGAAGGTTGTTGAGAGGGAATGTATTGGGCTTCTTGGGATTGCTGCTGAGGGCTGGTGAACAGAAAGAAGTTGTGTGATTCGAGCGCGGTGTTGACCTCCTTATATAGGAGTTTGAGACTTAACATCTTGCTGAATACCTTGACTACAATCTTATTTTCTTGATGATGATCGCCGCTACCTTGTGTGTCAGCTCCATGTTCATGATGGCGACCTTGGACCAGGTGCGTCTGCCATGGTCCGACCCATGAGGGTTGATTTTGTGGCGTTTATGCAGGCGGCTGCCTCCAGTAGTGTATATTATCTAGGATGTTGACTTCGTACGAGCCAGGTACGTCGCGATGGCAATACCAACAAAATCTTGGAAACCAGCCTGCCGGACTCTCCGCAAGGCACGGCGCATGAAAGGAGACTCTCTAGTTCAGCCAAAACCTAGCCATGCCCATGACGGGGACGAGCCAAACTTGGCTATCGAAGCTATGCCTCAGACCGCCTTGGTAGCAAACTCTCTCATACGGTGATATAGTACGTCTACATACTTGAATTTCGTGACTATGCCGTGAAGCCGAATCGGAAATTATGGGTTCCCCCGGTTGACATTGCTACATCTCGATGCCTTTGTTTGGAACCAGACCCAACCCTTGTAATGGCCGAGGATCGATCTCAGCTGCATCTATAGACACTTATTTGCAATAATACCTGTTCTCCCCACCATATCCACTCTCCAATAGGGCCCTCGGTAATCTCCCGTCTCAGAATCCATTGGAGCGAAAATATTCCGTTCTTGACAGACGATTTAGTTCCATGTTCTTCTCTAGTATAGATGAGCTGTAGCTTGTGCATCTAGTGGCAAGTGGATGTTAGTTTGGTAATAGAATGAACTGCAATTGGCTCAAATCAATGCTGAGTAACGATGGCTAATTAGGGAGTTTTTTTTTAGTTCCTTTTTCCCTTGCAGGTAGGTATTATTATAGTATAGTTGCAATTTTATATAGTACGCCTGCTACTCTATCCAGCATGGGAAGGGACGTGCTCATGGTGTGACAGGTGTATATCCGCCGCCATTTCATCATCGACAACTCAAGTGACGAAGCATTTATAATTGCCAGCTCGTATGGCAGTTGTTACCAGTGCTCCGAGACATACATATCAGGCCATGATAGCCCGCCTCAGCCCTACATTTCTTTTGTTGTTTACCATCATTTATGGTTATCGTACGATTGAACCCTAGAGACAAAAGTTGCGTAGCGCGAATGCGAGTTCTGTTCTGGTTGAGCGATGAGTGCTTCACGTGTGCGCCTTCTAAGTAACTGATTACAACATCGAAGTACCTACCCAAGGAATCGTTTCTATAGCTCAAAAAGTAGCGCCAAAAGACAACTTCGTTCTCAAGACGATCGGCTTCTTGGCAGAAGTTTCCGGCGTTAGTGCTCTCAGCTCTTATCTCTGATTGAAGCGGCTGCTGCTCCCTCCTTCCTGCTTACTTAGTCGGGCGCCTGCAGACGACGTTGAGTTGTCTTGCAGTGGCCTAGGCCTAACGTGGAGGCCGAGTGTAGATGTTTTTGATGCATCTCTCTCACCCCTGCATGCAAGGATAACTCGTCAAGTGCCCGACGGTCGAATAGGTACATCCGGAAGTTGGACCGGGAGACTGCCCGAGCTCAGGCCATAGCGAGATTCATCATATTACCCCATTTATGAATTGCAAGGCGGCAGATATCTGATGTGCCAACATTTACTATACGTTATTAATCCGGTCATCGCTAATCACACTACTATGTTAAACGCGTGTAGACCAGTAAGACACTGAGCTGGTTAGAAAAGCAAGTCTGCATTTTAGGGTCGCCGATAAAGGCCTATGTAAAGGTTCTAGCGAGGATTCGACCAGGTTATCTAAGTAGTATACGGAGTATCCAATTAAAACTTCACTTGCACTACCTACATTGGTAGTGCACTTGGTGGCTGCATCCGCAGGTGTATTACTTCGTACATATCGGGACTTGTCGAGCCACTTAAATAGAGGTGCGATGATCTTCTCCCAATTTGTAAGTCTGGCACAAAGTAGCTTCCCAGGTAGCCATGGACTCTGCCATGGAGTTCAAAATTATACTAGTGTATTAGACTACGCCTGTCTGATCTTATGACGACTGGTGCTTAAGCGATGGCATTAGTGTACCTAGGTGCGTGCGGCTGTCTCCTGCGTCGTGGATCAAGATTTGCGAATCTTCCCCTTCCGCCGAACCACCTATTTGACCTTTCCCCCGATCCAGCTATTCCTCTTTCTGTAGCTGAATCTTACCCCCTTGTCTAGCTCAGCCCCGAACGTCCATTTCGGAGCCTGTGCCGGGCTTCATAGTCTTCCATCGGCTTGGCAGACCGCGACTACTGTACAAGTCTGATGATCGACGTGAGTACCGCACCCTAGTGTAAATGCTGTTCAGTAAGGTAAG